CTATTAACATTTTTAATGTGCTTATTATCCTTTAATCCCAAAATCCTTTGGAGAATTTAGTGTAAGTAGATAATTACATAAATTATATGCATCTGTTTTGTAGACTATGCAGATGATAAAAAGAATAACTGTATTTCTAAGACACACTTAGGTTTTGTCTTACCAGAAAGATGCAATGGAAGGTTTTCACACAATTCCATCACACTGCTCCCTACTGATAACAGTTGTAAAACATCATTGATTATGAAAAGCATTCTCATTTCAGAGATATTAAAGTGAGGGGGAAAGTGCATCTTAGAATCAATGAAACATCTCAATTTACTGACATGAGCTGGGAATGGTGGTATGTACCTGTAATCCCAGCAACTTGGGAGGCTGAAGCAGGAGGATCACTTAAGGCCAAGAGTTTGAGGCCAGCCTAGGCAACACAGCAGGACCCCATTGTTGGCAATGGAGGCCTGTCTAGAGCGGCTGCTGCAAAGACACCAGCCACAGTGGGTGCTGTGTGGCCAGGGCTGTGTGTTCCATGGAGCTGGCAGGACCAAGAACAGTGGGATCCCTGCCCTCTTCTGAGTTGGTGGGGTAGTAGCCCACCCTCCCAGGTACAGCTGTAGTCCCCCAGACCTGGCTGCAGACCCAGGCATCCCTGTGCTCTTGGGGCTTCCTGCTCCTGCTGCCTGGCCCCTCCCAACTCCCAGCACCTGCTCTGATTTTGGAGCAAAGTTGAAGCCGAGCCTGGGCACTATTGCAACCTGACTAGGTTTGCATGCCTTGGGGTGGTGCAGACATGCCAGCTTCCTACCACCTCGGCCCCCTCTGGACTTTGGGTGTCAGTGAGCACAGGAGGGAGGCCAAGGGGCTGCTGAGGGCAGCTCAGCATAGGCCTGCAGGCAACCCTGGGCACAGAACACTGGGTGTCATGGACAACATGATTGATGGTGGCAAGAAGCAGACAGGATCCTGGGTGGAAAGGGACGAGTGAAGCCCCACCTTCAACCCAGGGATGGTCTAAAGAATAGGGGCCAGGCTGTCAGTTCCAGGTGGAGTCTGTAGCCCAGAGTGAGAACTTATGGTGCTTTTTCTGGGCCTGCCCATGGCTGCCCATGGACCAATCAGCATGCACTTTTGAAGACCATAGAAACCCTGGACTCAGCCAGACTTGGGCAGACATTGGGAGGACCTACCTGTGGAAATGGCCTACCCACTTTGGCTCTCCTCTGGCGAGGGGTGCAAATGTTAGGATGACCTGCCTGCAGATAGGGGCTGCCCACTCTGGGTCTCCTCCATGCTGTGAGCTGCACTCATCGGATTGACCTGCCAGGCCAAGTGGGCAGGATGAGCCCAGCAGGCTCAAGCAAAACTCAGGCAAAGGTGCTGCTGGCCACAGAGGCTTCTGGCTGGAAAAGCGATACCTGAAGAATCTTGCTACACCATCTTTACAAAAAAGTTAGCTGGGTGTGGTGGCAGGAGGATCACTTGGGCCCAGAAGTCAGAGGTTGCAGTGAG